TCTATTCATATAATAATATGACAAATAATCAGAGAAATACGCAGTGGAGATTAAAATGAACTGATGATAATGAAACGAATTGAAAGTTAGTTAATTGAGTTAATGAATGTCATAGCTTGTCGTTGCCATAAAAAACACATGAAAAAATCGCGTTTGGACAGCTTTAAAAGTATGTCAATAAATGAGGGTTTTCGCGATTGAAAAATCCGCCAGATGGCAGGACGTGGATGTGGGGTCTGACTGCTGCGTGATTGGTGGATTTTGATATATCTGTCAATGTCATGTCAAAAATAACCAATGATGCAACATTTGGACCTCGCGTCTACGTATTGCAATCTGGCGGATTTTTCAAGCGAAAACCCTCATTGGTTGAAGTCAACTGACAAATTGCACCAAAATTATAATCTAAAGGCACTATCAAAATATGATTTACATGCTTATTATCACATTTCTCACGTGCCAATTCCTGGATTACCGGGTTCGATTTCCATTTCATCTTCCCACAGGAAGGCGCGGCACACCTGGACGCGCAAAAACGCGCGCGCGCGCAGTTTCGCTTTCTGTGCGCGTGACTAAGCGCGAGCGAGCTAGTGAGAAACGTCAGATTTGTTTTTTTTTGCGTGTAGAAATGGGAATTTATTTCCAGATAATTAATGTGGAGAATAAAAGATGTTGTTCCTGACTATGCTTAAAGGAACAGTGAGAAAGATCAAACTTCGGAAAGTAATAAGATTCCTAAGTAAAATTGACTACAAATGGAAAAAACTAACATTAGGTACAACAATAACAATAATATAACAAATTATTCTCTTCTTCGTCTTGTGGTGTCGACAACAAACCTACATTGTGTCAGCCCAAAATTCTGCTACAAGAGTGACGTTTCAGTAGCATTCAATCTTCCTGCGTGCAGTTATTTGCTAGTATCAATTGATGATAATTATGTTTAACTATTTTGGTTTTCTTACTAGATTGATTCCTACCAACACAATTTTAGTTTTGAGCTAAACCTTGATTTCTTTTAATAGGTACCTTATTTAATTCTAACTAATTAATGTGTTAACTTCTGTCTCTACATGTGTCTTCATAAACGTTTTATCTATCTCTCGTCTTCCGAAGTCCGAGTGACTGCCCGACATCCGAGTACAAACACATTCTAAACGCAGACGCAGCTGAATGAGTTAGTTTCACCGCGGCGCGTGAATGACGCGTTTTTTGTGCGCGTACACTTGCCCAAATCGCTGTGAAATTAGTTGGGCCGCCGCCGCTTGTGATCTCGTGTGGGATGGGGTGCCAGTGACAGCGGGCAGTGATGACGAAAAATAAAAACATTTTAGGCTGAGTTACACCTTAACTTTAACCGTAACTATAATGATAGCCGGTATTTTTGTATAGAGTTTGACAGATTTTTGACGTATGTTATTATAGTTAAAGTAAGATAGTTATTTGATAATGTACAGGCAAAACGAGACTATTCCCACCGCTGTAACTCCTGTGTAGCCAGGATCTACAGGGGAAAGTTAGACTGTCATTGGATCCGCAACGAAATAAATGTAAATAACTACAATAGTAACGTCCAAGTTGACCTACTTAGGTGGAGCTGGGCCATTTTATTTCTGGCGGTCATGAATCTGCCTTTTTCGTTTTAAAACATCTAGCACAGGCACTTATCTTGAACTTGAACAAACAAGTAATAAAGATTAATTATTTTTTATGCCTCAGATACACCTACTTAACTTTAAACATTGGAGTTGAAGTTTGACAGACTTTTGACGTTTGTTAAAGTTATAAAGTAAGATGGTGCAACCCAGCCTTAAAACTTAGGTAATAAAGTTAACCTTTAACTGGTGACCTGAAGTCAACAGTGCGTATTTGGTGAGGTGACGTTTAAGAGACGTCAAAGAAAAACTAATGTACAAAAAAATTGGCTAACGTAAAATAAGTTTGAGGCCAAGAATTTCGTAACTTATATAGTTGTCCAAATAATATAAAAACATGGTTTAAAAAAACATTAGTTTTTGGTACAAAATCAGTCTTTATTTGAGCAAGGTACTTTTCATTAAAAAAAAAGTTAGACACCTAAAATGGGCATACTAGCCCCCAGAAATACACTTTGGGACCTTCCTAATCATCATTTTTAGATAGTTTAGATACTAATCAACAAAACTCAGCAGGTAAAGCTATCCTAAGATAAGAAATTAAAAAAACTACAATCATCAAATATCACTTACTAGAAACGTTCACGTCTACAGACATCACAATTTTGCTTGCAGCAATTTAGGCACATAGGTTTATCATAATAAGTTCTAGTGAACCTAGTACATTTTATTACATGGCTAAGACAAATGGCACATGTTCTTTTAACCCCAGGATGGTTTTGGGACGAGGCAGAAGTCGGTCTAGGTGGTAATTCATCAACACCAACTGAACGCAGCTCGCGGGGTAGGGTAGTCATTATAAGCCTCGAGTTTCAATTGAGGTATAACTAAAGAGCTATCCAATGATAATAAGAAGCTGCCCCTAGTTACCTTGTTAGTATTGTCGCAATCACTGTTTAAGACGTAAGAATTTATTCCTGAAAAATATCGACTGAGCTAAGCTATAGAATATGATTATACATAGGCCAATAAGTATGTTGAATAGTTGAAACACTTTGTTCCATCTCATCCATCAACCCCTCCTATTTCGTCAGGACACTGTTATTCAATGGTGGAGGTGTTGATTTCATATCCAGATTGCTCAGAATTGGTAACATGCAGACTTTCTAAAACGAAGTCAGGATCGCCTATATCGTCGTCAAAACTACTACACTCGTCGTCGTTCTCTGTTAGAAGCTCCTGTATTATACCTCGCTGACTAAGAACCCTTCTTCTTTTGGCAGACCTCTTTTGTTTATCGTGAGACATTCTATAAAAGATAATAACAATACATTACCACCGCTGTGACGTCCCTCAAACACTATGAAGTTGTGTAAACTAACTGTGAGGTGACGAACAACAGACACATAGGTAAAATACACATTAGCACTGACCTGACGTCTGTGAGACGGCGAAAGCTCCACACAGGCAACACAGGAGACCCTGAGCTCTTGCGCCCCCTACTGAGCGAAAGTATATGGCAAACGCGGAAGGTACTAAAACGCACGGGGAGAAGCGACAAAAAGGCGGGGAGATAAATAAAAAAAACGAAACGCGGTGTCTGAGAGACGGGCAGGTCACCAGTTAAAGGTTAAAAGGCTTAGAAAATCAAATTCCTTCACTAAATTCTGGTTTATTAAAGTCAGGAAAGATAAAGCTCTAACAACAACAGTATTTTAACCTCCAAGAAAATTATCAAATTAAAATACCGGTGCCATTTTTTTTCAGATAATCAGCCCATTAATTCGGTACGAATTCTATCCATGATCCCAAAAATAACTTTCATATCCGTCCCGCTACCACTGTAACCCCGCCTTTACTTATATTTATACTAGTCGTGCACTGTCGTCTTTAGGCGAGTCATTAAAAAAGAGGCTTTCAATCTCAGTGAGAGTCCAGTGAAATATCTAGAGACCACAAACTGACCCGCGCACTAAACGTTACATTCATTTTGATCGAATCGTTTTGGGCTATGTTTATGTACAGTCGCAGAATGAAAAGGTTCGTCACCTTAGGCCCAGTTTTTTGATTCGTAGTTAAAATAACAAATTGTTAAATTTTGCTACTAATGGTTAAATATTAACAAAATGTTAACTAATAGTTTAAAAATGTACTAAAAGTCAAGCTAACCATTGTTCGAAAAACATTTTTCTCTGATATTTAACCACTTGTCATTTGACATCTGTCAAATTTGACTATTGGTTATTTTAACTACGAATCAAAAAACTGGGCCTTAGTGTCGGTTTTCGCTTGCACCAAAGAGTCAAACCTGCCAACATAACAGTGCAAGAAACAGTGCTGCTAACATTTAAATAAATATGACGTTTGCTGATGAATAAGGTTTTGCTTGTTTATTTTTCTATCCCATCAGTGCAATGCAATGATGACATTGACCAATTGACAATAGTTTTTTTATTTAATAGACATAATAATGGCAGGTTGAACCAACAAGAAGGTTTTATTTATCAATCATAATAATCTTCTTGACAAGATAAATCGTCAAACAACTTTGATCTCAATAATTTTGAACTTTACTGACGAACAGTTAAAGATTATTTTCTCTAATTTGAGATTATTCTGTAGCATAGTTTCAAAAGGTAATATGTGCTCGCGATTCGTTGAAGGAATCAATTTGAAAACTGACGAACCTTTTCATTCCGTGACTGTACATCTGTTGATACTCTTGACACTGCATTTTAGGGCTAAAAGACTCTACGCTTTTTAGCAAGTCAGTTTCTGATTATAATTGATTGCATAAATGTAACCTCCTGAACCAGTTTGGCTAGCGTAGAAAGTGTAAACAAACAATCCTCCATTTGTCTCTGGTAAATTAGAGAGGGTCTTCTTCCTGCATTCAAGACTATATTGGTAGTTATGATGACTTAAATATACCATTACATGCAATACGACAAATAGTTTTTAAACATTTTTGTATGTTAATTATTTTCTGAATTTCGCTTCTTCTTCGTTTAGTTTGAAATGGTAGTCTAAAGTAATAAAAATGAAGATTAGCCTAACCATTTGTCTCCTGGCACCATTAACACCAACTAAATTTACTAAAAGACCTTGATTCCTGTAAATCAGTGGTTCTTAACCTTTAAGACACGAGGGACCATTTTACCAAATTTCTGTCTTGTCAGGGACCACTTATATTTTTTTGAAAATCCTATGAAAGGGGAGGTCGATTTCTCTCCCATTGTGCACCGTTTGCGTTGTGTTGACTCGACTCATCATGTCACGTCACTTGTTTATTACGATGTCTTCGCGGACCACTTGGAATGCCTCCAGGGACCACCAGTGGTCCGCGGACCACCGGTTAAGCACCACTGCTGTAAATTATAATATTAGTATTAATTCAGGACTCACCATCGCCTCCCTGGTTGCTGCTGTGCGCGTGGTACTGCTCATCTGCAAAGTCGTACTCTACGTCAGATCAGACACATCTGCTCTCAATAATCATACTTCTTTCTTATGGCAATCTCAAAATGTCAGGGACAGCAGACATAGGATGAGTTGCACCACCTAATCTTGACCGTTAACTTTGACGATAACGGGTGTTTTTTGTATGAAGTTGACGTTTGTCAAAGTTAAAGTAAGATGGTACAACTCAGCCTTAGAGTGTATTTTGTCAAAGCACTGCGAGCACAGGTCAGTGCTGTCACTGGTTTGTGTGGAATAGCAGTGATTGCAGTGCTATATCGGAATAGACCCAAAATATCAAGGACAGATCCTCACGTTGGTCCGAATGCTACTCGTCCAACGTGTAAATCTAGAAAATAGTATTGGCACCACAGATTGGCACCAAAGTATGGATAACTATTTTCAGTCCAAGTTGGACTAGTGATATTGGGACCAACGTTGGGGCCAACGTGTTGAGCCGGCCAAATAATTAAATTAAATTATTTTTCTTCTTGCAAGTAAGCTTTTAAAAACCACTTTTACAGTTTGAAAATTATATTACTTTTACAGTGAAGGATATCGTTTCTAAACTTAACAGTTGGCACCACTGGCGAGTGACAGGACAGTACAGTAGCGCCATCCTGGTGATTGCAATTGTGACAGTCCTTCTACTACTTCAGTGCACCAGTTGACAGGACCTTACTCTATAGTGGCGCCAACTGGTAAGGGCATTATGCAGCCGTCACTGATAGTTGCCGAATCATGGGCTAAGTTTTAACACTACGTTAAAAAATAACAACTTCATAGGCAAGCTAAAAGGTTGAAGAACTCTACATGTTATAAAATATTTAATTTGTAAGTTTCAATTGGGACTAACAAAAGTCAGTATTTTTTTATCCAGTCAAAAAGCCATGTGCCCAGTTTCTGGCCTCACATAATCAATTTATGAAATAAAACATTAAAACGAAAAATAACAAGAAACTCACCTCCATTCCGATGGTCGCTACTGATCAGCTCCTGGGTTTGCAAAGATGGCGCGTGTATCAACACCTTCTGCTGAGGACTATGAGGGTCCAGACCCTCAACCTCCAGCAAGGGCGCGTGAGGCTCATACCCATGGACAACCAGTGGCGGAGCGTGGAGATCCATCGCTTTTCATAACCTCCTTCGAACCGGTTTGACAGCTCACTTGTCACTTAAAAAGGCGCGAAAGTTCCAAAGAGTTCACAGCGCTTAAAGTTATTTTTAATCTGTGACACTTGTTATGTTATGCAGTATTGTGTGGCACTAAAATTTGTCGTTGCGTTTTGAATGTTCGTTGGCGTTTTGTTGTCTAATTTTGCACTATTATTGGCACTTATTTCTTGATTATAAACTATTAGAGAATTTTGGAAGAGTATTTTGGTTGGAAGTTTAAAGTTTTCGTGGCGTCTGTCACTTAACTGTCACATTGTAATTGTCACTGCGACGTTTGGTTTTTTCTCATCGTTTCTTGCGGAACTTCATGCGTTGTCTCAGCATTATGTATCTGGAACAAAATAATTAATATAAATATATCGTCGTAACAGATTCTTTTTTTGAGACAAAAATTTCTAATTAGTAAAAAATTAGGCAAACTTCAAAGTTTTTGTGTATCTGACTGTACACGCAAATGCAAGTGAATGCAAGAATTTGTGTAAGTGCATATAAAAACGCGTCGGTATTTAGATTCAGAGGAGAATGCGAACAAAGGCTATCCTGTGGGAACCACGATGTAGGAATGATAAAGCATAAGTTATATTCAAAGTAAAGTCATACAGTTTGACCTAACTTGTTAAAAGTCACTAGTCTTCATTTATTACTACTACTACTAACATTTTGTATTTGGATTGACCTATAAACCAGCAGAAGAGAGATATTATTCAGTATAATTGGAACAATTATTGACACCATAGCTCCTCACCTTGCATTCATTTTTAATACATGTATTGATCAAGGTTGCTTTCCTAGCTTAATGAAGTTAAGTAAAATAATTCCATTGTTCAAGGCCGGTGACAAATGTGACCCCTCTAATTTTCGACCGATTTCTATTCTACCAGTACTTAGCAAAATTTTTGAGAAAATTATTTTCCACCAACTTCTATCTCACTTCATTTTTAACAAATTATTACACAATAAGCAATTTGGTTTTACGAAAGGTAGAAGTACTACTGACGCTGGGGTAGCACTATTGAAACACGTCTTTGATGCTTGGGAGAGTAAAAAGGACGCTGTTGGTATTTTCTGTGATCTTTCAAAAGCGTTTGATTGTGTAGACCACCAAACCTTACTAAACAAATTGCGACATTATGGTGTTTCGAATAAGTCACTTGATCTGCTGAACTCGTATCTCACAGGCAGAAAACAAAAAGTTTGTATTAACGGAACTGAGTCTTCTGGAGCACCTCTTACTATGGGTGTGCCGCAGGGATCAATATTAACATACTGACAGTAGCTTCACAGTTCATTTATGAAAACCTTTTATATGTCCGCAAAAATATAGAGCAATTCACGAAAAAGAGCGATTTGCATAACTTTAATACAAGAAACAAAAATAAACTTGCCGTTCCAAATTTCAGATTGCATAAGATTGGTAATTCATTTATGGGAAAATGTATTAAATTATTTAATAAATTACCACAAACTGTTGTAGAACTACCCATTCATAAATTCAAAGCACATATTAAAAGTACCTTAATGAAAAAGGGCTACTATAAAGTCGATGATTATTTAAAAGATAAAAATGTTTGGGATACTTTACTGCCTAGCTCGCATAAATATTTATAACTTTGTACATTTTAAAGCATGTAAACCTTTGAAAAAGAGGCTGACAATAGTGTCTGAGTTTCTTGCGCTGCTTCTTCTCAGCACTGGCCCATTTATTGTCCTGAAGCAGTGGTAGGGTTAATACTGGGACGTGTAAAAGTGCTTTTTTTAAGCCTATTTACAGAAATAAATGAGTTTTATGAGTTTTATGAGTTTTTATTTTTAAGCCCATTCAAATAACTATTACAAAACGATGACTCTTCATGTATATACTTTGAAAGGTTCCTAAAATAAGTTAATATTATTAATAAAAAAACAAATTAAAATTCATTATTAGGAAGAAGTCCTTTGGTACCGTTTCTAAAATCATTTTTTTAAATACATAACTGTATGTAATCATGAAGTTCCAATCTGATTCTAAAGAACTTTGACTGCAATTTTGCAACATTTTATAAACAAATACTGTAAAACTAAATGCTATAAAAATGTTCATAAACTTGTAAAATGTTGCCACATCCAAAACACTTTCTTCCCACATCACATTTCCTAAGAACAATGGTTTCCAAGGCACGAGCCGCGAATACAGCATAATAATAGAACATTTTATTTGCAAGGAGCTACTTGATTTACTTATACCCTACTAACAAAGAAACAATGTCAAACGCACGCGCGTTTACAATAGAATAGAATGCATTATGAATGTTTAATTTTGGTTAAAATAACTGAGAATCCAACTTAAAAACAATAAGTATAGGCAAGATTTTTTAAATAGTTCGTGCTTTTCAGTTTGGTAATTAAGACGATAATTATTATAGGAAAGAATTTCTGTAAAACCACTTTGTTTCAGCTCTCAAAGTGTGAAAAGTGTGAAGTGTTTACATTCATATGTCTATCTACATGCTACTTTCATTGTCTGTCATTTAGTTCAAAGAAAGTAACCAACTTAAAAAAGGCACTAATTGTGTGCCAGTGTAACAGTCCCGAGCCAACATTCCAAGCAAGCCTACTAAAAACTAACTTTGAAATTGTTCTGACCAAGAATCAAAAACTAGACGTGATTCACTGTACGAGTATAACACCTTATTACCATCGGCCATCTTATCAGCAACATTCTGTGACACACACTTTCCAGCCAAAAGTTTCCAAAAGATCTTTGACCCGAACCTCAGCATTTAGGCACAAAGGTACAGGATACATTACCTGCGCACTACGCACGCACTGAGTCATCCCTACGCCTGCAAAAAGACTGCGCAAGGCTGTGAGAACGTCGAATAAGAATAGTGGGTATACACGAGCGAAAGGTTGGGGACGCATCTGAAGATAAATCAAGGGTTTCAGGCAAAAAATCATGTGTAAACAAAAATAGATTAAGAACAGACAGTATATGAAAACAAATAGGTACCGCGGGTATGCAAGAATTAAAGACTGGGGACGCATCTGATACAAGAAGGTTTCAGACGAAAAGCACTTTTAAAACAGTCATTGTAGAATACACATTATGTCAAATTTGATAAAGATTAGATTTGTGTTTTGATATCCCTTTAGACATTAGAATAAATTAGCATAGGTGTCAACCCATGGTACCTAATTGTAGCGTAAAAAATGTTATGGAGTAGACTACATTAAGCTAAATGAGCAAATAGGAGCTGGTGGAAACTAGGATATGTAATTTATTTAAACGTATTTTATTTTTACAGCCAGCTGAAACAAAATGAGAAAGATTTTTCATTTTGACACCCATAAGAAATATTACGACTGTTATTTTTGAGCAAATGCAATTTACTTTAAATGTAAAGAATTCACAAATTTGTTTGACTTTGACCAATAATTACAAATACTTAGTCATTGTAATTGTCTTAATTAATGTTTAATATGTATGTTTACATCCATGTTCGTGATTTCATTGCGGAAAAGCGAATAAGCATAAACAAAAAATTAATGAATGTAAAAAATTATATTCATATACTAATAAAAAAAATGTAACAAATCGATTCATTTGTACTATCTAATAAGACCTTGTTTTTCACCTGTCATCAGTTTTGCAATGGAGGGAAGTCGAATTAACTTCGAACAACTCCTACGTACCCCTGATAAATTTCGTTGCGGGTCCTATGACAGTTAACTTTCCCCCGGGACAAACTTGACCATCACTGGTTGGGTTTTTATTGGCGGTCAAGCTTAGATCCTGGATACACAGGAGTTGCAGCGGTGGGAACGAGAGGTTTATCTAATAAAATCTATTTTAGACTAATTATAAAATTATCTTTGACTGCACCCTAAACGCCACAATTCGTTAACTCGTTAATTAAAGATCATGAATTTGATTTTTTAATATAGATAAGGATATTATCAAATTATCGTAGCAAAGAAAACATTATTTAATTAGATTTATCTTCAGACACATCTTAAACTTGCGGTGCGGTGTGCGAGAGTTTTTTCCATAATTTATTCACACAATGATGGGTATCGTACTCGTACATGAATGATAGTGTTTACGACCGTATGACTAGTTTGACTGGCTTTGTATGGTTTTGTAATTTTGGATGGGGTTTGAAAAATTTACTGAAAATGGTCAAAAGAAAATAAGAGATCTGCTAAAAGACTTTGAAAAAATATTAAGACGCAGCTCTATCGCTAAAAATCTTTTTGAAGGGACTTTTTAATTTTTTTATGATACCTCCATTATTAAAATTATTGGACGCTCTACAAAAAAAAAGTTAAAAAATGGTTATGTTTTTTTTGTATACTTAAATACCTTAAATTTGTATAATAACTAATGATGTGACCCTCACGTCTTTTTGTACACCATAGTAATTTACACATTATTTATTTTTAACCAGATGTCACACGAGAAAACCCACCGAATCTATACTTACAAGGCGCTGTCAAATCAACAGTAACCATCTAAAACTACTATAAATAATAAAAAACAACTAACAATCGTATCCGTGAGAAACTTAACACTATAACTTAGATTTAATGACACCTTGTTGTGTGATGACGAAACAACTACCCACCAAAAAGAACGAAGTAAAACCACAGATGAGAAAATTTAGTGTAAATCATAGAATCTATACTAGGTAATATTATAAAGCTAAAGAGTTTCTTTGTTTGCCTGAACGCGCTAATTTCAAGAACTACAGCGGGGACAACCTTTTCAGCTCAATTTGGCAATTTAGTGATAGAGATGGTACTAAATCCGTATAGCTCACTACCGAGCTATTTTTCTTATGTGTGTAAGTTTATTGTGAAATATAAAATAAAGTATGTGATTTGAATGTTTTATATTGTTTGTGCGTGCAAAAATATCATAATAATTGGTCTAACTTGTAAATCCAGTTAAACTATGCCAGCGTTTCTATTGTAATTTGTTGTAGGTACTTAAATAAATAATAGTTTACGTGTAATCAAAATGAGTATTTATTTGTAAAATTAATGTCTATAATTAGTATCAAGTTGTAATACCTATTTGATATCACAGATAGACAGATATAGCTACATTACGTAACTGAAACATGATTTTTAGACAACTTTCTTTTAATTAGCTATTGAAAGTTTTTCTTTTNATTTTTAGACAACTTTCTTTTAATTAGCTATTGAAAGTTTTTCTTTTCAATTTACCTTTTTTTTTTTTTTTTTTTTTTTTTAATTGCAAAATCAGTTGTAATTGCAAACCAAAACTGGTTTGAAAATCGCAAAAAAATTAAGGCTTGTTCCAACGGACACATCCCGTTTTTACAGGAC